GCGATTTCTTTCTTCGTTTTATTTTTACATAGAGGCGCGCGTACGTACCGGAAAAAAAAAAAAAAAAAAAAACTTAACAAAAGAGAGGAGGAGGGATTGGGGGAGGGGGGCGGGGAATATTTACATACGTTTTGATCATTGCGCAAGGCGTAAGATTTCAGAAATCGTAATTGTTCGCGACAAGATAGAAAGCTGTGACTGGGATTTACGAAAGGAAGGGAAATTATTGCGGAATGCTCGAGCGGATATCCAAGCATTGTCCATGCGCCCGTTTTTAAGAGGTGTTTTGTCGCGCATAACTGCGCAAGTACGCACAAGTCTTTCTTTTTATAAGAACGCCAGTCGCGCCTATGAACTACGAACATACGCTCGTGTACAACATACTCGATCTGTGCGCTCGCGTGCATTTGGCGAATGGAGTTAATTATTGGTACTTGGAAGGGGTCAAGCCGCGGGGTCACTCGGTAGAGAAGCAGATGCGAGATCACGTGAAACGCCCGCCCCTTCTCTTTGCCCTCCCTCTCATCCTCTCTTTCTCCCTATCCTCGTTTCCCCTTTTCCTTCTCCTTACATCGTATAATCCTCTTTCGGCTATGCACGCTCACTTGAATTCATTATATTTCTTTCGCAGATTGTCGACCGTTCTATAAAAGATTCGCCGTTTCTCTCTACTTCCGATAAATCAAAATCATTAACGTACCGCGATATACTTTCCTACAAATAGTTGATGCACAATATACATTTTTGTGAATATACAAACCGTACAGAGGGCTTTCGGGGTTCTAATGCAAAAATAAGGAGGCATCTTTAATTTGTTAACGAATTTAATATTAAGGAAGCCAGAAAGAAATTAAAAAAATAATAAAAGTTCTAGTTACTAGTTAAAAATATAATTTATAAATAGTGCAAATAGAAGATTTAATTTTAGAGTCTTTTAACATCGAAGGTGTCTGTGTAATCTGCATTTTCACTGCTCTATATATAAAAAAAAATATCATTAAAGGTAAAAAAAAAATCTCATTAAAGGACACATTGTATAATCTCGCATAAAAGAATGTACTTTTTAAATAAAATGTTTTTGGGTTGAGGCCGCGTGCCTCGATTAATGGTATTATAATTAATGATACTCGATCCGAGAAAATTTCGTTTATATGCTCAAAGCATTTGTTCGTCTTTCTTTCATGTTTCAATTACTATAATACTTCTTTGCGTGGAATTTCTTTTTATTGGTACAATGCAATGAGGGGAATCATTCGCCAGAAAATTAACCAGTGTTTCTTAAAAGCTAAAAGCTCCCTGGCGAATGAACATTCTTGAAACGCTAACTCCCCTAGAATCGAAAGAAATGAATGTTTATGCACAGTATATATTATAAAACAACACAAAAAAAAAAAGGTAATCCGTGTGGAATTATAATTGCGTAGCCAGTGGCGCCGTCTAGGATCCAGCGTCGAGATAGCGTTGACGCCGTACCGATCGAGTCGCCGCATCTGTGCCGCTCCGCTCATGCATACAACACAAATATACAACACACTCGTAATGCGCGAGACCTCGACGAGGTCCGTGAGCGAGGTCCGGTAGCGTGAAACTCTCGCTTCGATTCACACAATATATAATTCCATTTCGTGCCGCCCTCGCGATAATGGAAGGAAAATTACTTTTATTGCGCCGGCATCCGATTACCCTCGTTAACACGTCACGCCGATTTATAACAATCCCGTACACCTTGCGCGGCATACATTTCTAAAGAGTCCCACAATATAACGCCACACGCCGCTTGGTGCGGTGGTCCCTTCCTCCCTCTCGAGGCGAGATTATCTCGCGTCTCTCTTTTCTCTCTCATTCTTTCTCTCTGTCGCTCTTATTATCTCGACTCTGCGGCCCAGCTGTCGCCATATATATATATATACATATACATACATATATATATATATATATATATATATATATT